GCCCTGTGCTGCTCTGCCTTGGACCCAGCTGAGTATGGACTGAAACCTCCAGTAACTGTGAGCTAAATAAACCTTTCCTTCCTTCATTTTGAGTGTCAGGTATTTGTCCCAGCAAGGAGAGAAGAGTAACTAAGACAATGAGGTAAAAAATTTAGGTAAAAATCTCACTTTTGGCACAGATATTGAAATTTTTGATTCTATGCTCAGCCTTCTGTGGTTATGATTGCCTGTCTCTGTTTTGTTATTTTAGTTATGCTTTCTCAACTCATGCTAACTCTAACCCAATGTAACCTAAGTAAACTGCTCAACTAGCTTCTTTGGGGAAATCTCTGCTAAACTTTGTTAAACAAGTTATTACTGACCTCCTGCTTGTCCAAACCAAAAGGCAGTCTGAAGTCAAGTACTATCACCTTCAAGCATTTGACTTGACTACATCTCCTCTGTATACCAGCTTCTCTGGATTTAATGATACTACTTCCTCTTGACATCCCTCGTGTCTTTCTGTCTACTTACATATATTACCTTATCTAGTTTTCCTTCATTCCCTTAAATGTTCTATAGTATTTAGTTCTACTTTAGTTCTATAGTATTTAGTTCTACTGTTTTTCTTTCTCATTTTTACAATACACTACAACCATATAATACGTTTGATATCATTCATTTCTGTGAGTGCATACTACATATGTGTGTATGGGTTTTTGTATGTATAGGTATATAGTACCTATATACTATATAAATAGAGGAACTTTATTACTATAATTACAATATATTTTGAAGTTTCCTACTGTGCTGCTTGAAATCTTGCTGAAGATTTCTTTGGAGACTTGCAGTTGACTGGACTTTCATATGTATGTTAGAATACTTTTTCTAATTTTTTTAGATACTTCAATATTTTGTATGGATATATTATTGATTTTAAGTTGATGTCGTATCCTATATCACATAAAGTCATCTATTGGATCAAACATGTTTTTAAGTTCTGAGGGGGTTTTATGTATTACGATCATGTTATCTGAAAATAGGGACAATTTAACTCTAACCTGAATGCCTTCTCTTTCTTTTGTTTAACCTCTCCATCTGGAATGTCCAGTACTATCTTGAGCAGATGTTGTTAGATTAGGTATCTGGTCCCATTCCCTGTAGGTGATCTGAGGAAAAGCTTTCAAAAGTTGATCTTGGAAGATGATATAATCTATGAATTTGTCATTTGTGATATTTACTGTAATGAGGCATATTCCTTCTATACCTATTTGGTTGAGGTGAAAGTCACACCTCTCTCCTATGCTCAAAACCAAATTAATTTTGACTAACAATTTCCTCTGGAGTATCTTGAAAATAGTTCTTTTAGTTTTTCCAACACAGATCCATATTTTCCCTGACTGGTGTGTTTCTCTTTTCCCTCTTTTCTGACTTCAGAAGTCTAACTATCCTGTCATCTATTGTAAGATCATCTACAGAAGGTAAGTCTCTACTTTTTCATTTCTGAAAGCCCATTCATAAAAGATTATATAAATTTAGGTCACAAGAGAGCCCTGGTTCATCCAAAACAAATAACAAGTTTAATAGTAATTATATTTATTATTTTTCATACAGTATTTTATTACCAGGAAAACGTTTTATAGACATCAAAGGAAATCTTAAGGAATAAAAACTCACCTTGGCCTTAGGTGCACAGTATACAGTTTCTCATCTATTGCAATTACATATGATATCTGTTCCTAAAGAATCAAGAACAACTAAGAGTGAAGGCAAATTTCATATTACAAGGAGAACAATTTTGTATCAATTAATTCTTCCAAATAATGCTGAAATCATCTAAGAGGACATGTGATTTAAAAATATTCAAAATAATATTAAGGAATTTTAACATTTATTACATAACATTCTATTTCCACCAAAAATAATCAAATACAAGGATTTATATAAGAATAGATATCCACATTTGCTGAATTGTTAAGTATTATGAAAGAAGAAATTATGCACTATGTTGTAATTTTATTCACTTGGCAGTGAGGGGGACCACCAAAATAGCCCTCCTTGAAAGAAGAGCATGAGTCTCCATTTTGGGTGAGGGCCTGACTCAGTGTATTAAATTAAATTATGTAGAGCTGCCTAGATATTTCTTTATCCCCTCAGTTTGCTCTAAGTAATGTTAATGGGTCTAGCTGAGGCACTCATGTATCTTGAAGGTGAGAAGATCAGTGATGCCAAGCCTATAGATTCCATCTACTATGCATAAGTTAGGCTGGGTTAAGCCACACTGTCCAGAGACTGAGGCTTAAGAAAGAATCCATGATGTCCAAGGATATGAAGCCTAAACATCAAAGCTGAAACACAAGATACTTCCTCAAGCTGTTATGCAGATTTTTCTTTCTGTGTACCTCTCTCTGTGCATATGGCAGGGGTGCTATCTTGCCTCTAACCTAGCCAAGTTCACAGTATACACATAATTTCTACCATTTTCACATTCACTTATTGCCGAGGCTCTCCTCTCTTCCAAAAATTAAGACATAGATTGAGCCCTGGGTCAAAGCCTTCATTCTGGTTAGCCATTGTTGTAACTGGACTTAGGACCTCCTTAGATCCCCACCACAGTGTGTGTGTGTGTGTGTGTGTGTGTGTGTGTGTGTGTGTGTGTTTATACCTATTCCCACCATGCGTTGCACTGGAAGAGGTCGCAATTCCAGTAAATTTCCCCTGAGGTTAAAAATGCAGACATCTCTAGACCTCCATCAGGCTGAAGAGAGATAGCTATGGGGATCATTAAGATATTAAGGTACTCTATAATAGTGATGCCTCTTGTACCAAGCCCAAAAATTACTTACCATATTTGCACATTGGTATTTCATATTTCCTAACTTTTTAAATGGAAGATTCTTGATCAGGAGTTGACATTACATTTGACTCTCTCATAATTTTCAAGTTAAAATACTGGTAGCCATAAGTTAGGATATCTACCAGTAAATGCACCTGAGTGGCAAGATTTTATTCAGCAACAAGTAACATATGGTAAACAAGAGTTAGTAATGTCAGTAGGGGAAAAATAAGCATGTAAAAATGAAAAGAACATCAATATTAGGACAACAAAAAGGATAAGGGCTCAAGGATCTGCAAAGAGAAGATGCCAGTACATAGTAAAAACCAAAGAAGAATAAGACAAATTGTGCAAAGGTCAGCCAATAGTCAAAATGAAACCAGAAGGTTAAGTTCATTGGTAATAGATTGATACTGTGGGGCTGGGGTGATAGCTCAGTGGCATAAGCGCCTGCCTGACAATGCAAGGTCCTGAGTTCAATCTCTGGTATCACAAAAACAAAAAAGAAAATAAAACAAAAAGCACATTGATATCATGTACCCAATATGAGGTAATGTTCAGAGCATGGTAATGTTCCTTTAATTTCACAACTTAGTTTAAGGATGAAAAAATATCAGACAAGGTAAAAATTAGGGCCATTTTACAAAATACCTAGCCAGTACTTCTCAACATGTTCATCATCGTGGAAAGATCAAAACACAACAAATGAGACAAGGAGAGCATGCAGTGGGGTGCTCTGTTTTGCATTTTGGAACCATAAAGGACATAAAAAAACTGGTGAAATCCAAAGAAAGTATTAACTGGTATACTAATTAATGCACTGTGTACGGGTAATACATAACAATGTCAATATCTTGGATCAACAAAACTATGTAAGTGAAGAAGAATCTGAAAAGAAAAAGTTGAGTTTCCCCAAACTTCCCCCTACACAGCTGTTGTTCTTTGTTCTAATATAGATTAAAAACAATAACTTTGTCCCTGTAAGTAAAGAGTTTTTATTTTAAAGAGAATAAAAAATAATTTCAAAAATCAGAAGCAATACACAATTTCAAAAAACAAGATGATAGGACTTCAACAATGGTTTTTTTATATTGCATATTGCTGTCTTCAAAGTAGTTGCTCAGATTAAGAGATATAAGCATATAAAATTGGGTAAAAATATTAAGCATTAACTGTTATTTTCAATAAAACCAATAGAAATTAATAATACCATTATCTTAGTTAATATATATTAACTAAATATATATATTTAGTTATAGGATATAGTTAAGGCTATATATAATATATATATATACATATATATATATATATATATGATATATATTCCCTTCCTTCTTTCTTTTCTCCTTACTCTCATCTCTGTTCTTTCTTTTGAACAGTTTCTTTCCCTTTCACAATATCTATTGTACTTTTTAGATTTTATTTACTGTTTCAGATTCTTACATTAGGGAAGACAATGTGATGTTTACCATACAGGTTTGATTTATTTCACTTGACAGTATGGTCTCTAGTTATATCCATTTACCTATAAAATCCTCAAGTTTATCTTTCTTTATACCTGAGCAATACTCCATTGTATGAAATGTCACATCTTCTTTATCCATTCCTTAGTTGATGGGCATTTAGATTATTTCCAAGATTTATCTATGACAAAATGCACTGCTATAAACATGGGTGCACATATATCATGGTGGTGTGATGTTTGTAAGTAAAGTTTTGTAACTCCTGTTCTTATAACATAATGGTTTCTACCCAAACAAGGCCACCGGGCAGAGCTTGACAAACTGCCTTTGTCTTCCTTGGCCTCCCCTAAGTTACACTACACTTTATCAACCCTCTTGGTGGCATGAATAAAAAAGTTCCCTTTCTTTATTCAGTGCTCAGTCCTTTCAGACATGAGTCCACTGGGCCAGATGCACACCGAAATAAACCAATTATGTTGTTTCTCATTGAGTTTCACCTGTCATTTAAATTCTGTAATGTAAGTTTTAATATTAGAGGAAACTGAATGTACAGCATGGGAAACTTCTCTATAATCTTCTCTGTAAATCATAATTTCTATCCAAATTTTAATATTTATTTTTGAAGACAGAAAAATTGAGGGAAAAATGCAAAACAAGCATGACAAGTATAAGGCAAAAACACCAAAGAGAAGATTTTTGAAATGAAGTAGCAGGGTAAACTGCTAGTTTCAAAAGTTTCAGTGATAAGAACAGCTCTTTGGAAAGCTTGATCTTAATGTGATAATTAAATATGAATGCTGAAATACATATATTTTTTTTTTCTCTTTTTTGTACCAAGAATCAAACTCAGGACATTGTGCTTGAAAGACAGGGGCTTGTGTTTCTGAGCTAAATCCTTGGTGCATTTATCTAGTTTTATAGTGGACTCAATGAGCAAGTAGTTATCCAAAGGAGTTTTAGGATGAATATTTTCCCAAAACTAAAATTTAGTAATCAATGAGATGTTAAAAATTAAAATTATTTTCTTTCAGCAATGTAGATTGAACTCAGGGCCTTGCTCTTGCCAGGCAGGTGCTTATGTCACTGAGCTATCTCCTTGGCCCTAATTTTTTTTTAAATTAAATATAAATTTAACATTACTGTTTGCTAAACTGCTTTATGGTTTTCTCCATTTTTTAAAGGGATTTCACTACATCTTTCTAAACTGTCTGAAAATAAAAGTATTTTATGCTAACTCTTATCAGGTTATTACTGGTAAAGGAGTAATATTTGTTATACTAACTTTTTAAAAATTACTCAGTTTTTGCTTTATCATGATAAATGCAGAAAAAATATTTGATAAAATTCAAATGCTAATACAATTAAAAACTGTAAACAAAATACATAAACAATAAAAACAACTCTGTACAATGAACATTATAAATCATTACTTATGTAAATTGAAGAGACATTAAAAAATCCTATGTTAATGAATTGAAATTTGTATTATTCTTAAATGTCCATAGCACCAAAAGTAGTTTACAGATCCAATTTAATCACCATGAATGCTTTAGGACATTCTTCAGAGAAAGAGAAAAAATAATCATTTAAAAATACAGTAAGAGAGTGAAATAAGTAAAATGGAAAATTTAACAGAACAATTCAATATTGGGTGTGGTAAAGAGTTAATAAATAAATTGAATGATGTGGCAATGAAAATGACCTATTCTGGAAAACACAGAGAAAAAATTAATGAAGGAAAAGTAATTGTAGCAGAGAAGCCTGAGGCAACCTTAAGATTACTGACATGTTAGTATAAAAGCAATTCTAATTACTTAAGGGAAATAGACATGGTCAGGAAAAATATTTGAAGAAATTATAGCCAAAGTACCCAAAATTTAAAGAAAAACATTAATCTATCCATTTCAAATCTTAATAAACAGCGAAGACAAAATATTCAAGAAAATAAACATTGAGCTACTTCCTGGCCAACATGATAGGACCTACACACAATGACAAAAAAATCTCCAAAATTTCAAGAGAAAAATGTCTCATTACATAACAAAGCATAAACACAATGAATGACAGATTTGTCTTCTGAAATAATGGAGGCCAAAAGGCTGTGAAGAGAGGTATAACTTGTTCTCAAAGAAAAAAACAAATTGCTAGCTAAGACCTCTATATCCATCAAAAGCTGTCCTTTTAAAATGCTAACACAAAGACCTGCTTTAGTGGAAATGCTAAAGGAATATTTGTAGGCTTACAAGAAATGATAGCAGATGGTATCTTAAGAAACCAGAAATAGTAAAATAATTGAGTTGGTGTAACACAGATAACATAAACAACAGAAATTTATTGTCATAGAATTCTGAGGCCCAGAAGTCAAGACTGTCATGCTAGAAGGCTGGTTTCAGGTATGCCCGAAGTTAAAGGCTTCAACATATGAATTTTAAAGGGTCATAATTCAGTCCATAGTGGAGTTTGTAGTTACAAAAGCAAAGCTCATAGCCACAAAAGACAACATGGTGAAATGTCAAAAAAGCTGAAAGTATTTTTCAAACACCTTAGGAAATGAAGAGGCAAGCTAAAAGTTGTGGAAAAATAATGAAATGTATACAACTGATTAAATACCTATCTAGAATACAGTATGACTCCCTAGAACTCAAAAATAAATGATTCAAAAAAAAACCCAAAAAATAAATAAATGATTGAAAAATAGATGAATTGGGGGCCGGCAAATAGTTCAGTGGTCTAAAGCACCTGCTTAGGCAAACTTAGGCAGGTGCAGGTGACCACAGTTGGATCCCTGGCACCAAATGCCGTGCAAACCCCTCCTTCAGAGTGGGCGGAGCCAGCAAAAAAAAAACAAAAACAAAAACGAATGACTCTAATGAACACCTGGGAGAATGCTACATTACCAGATAAAAGACACCTGAAAAATGTTCAACATCATTATTTATTGGGGAAATATATCTTAAAGTAACAACTATACCCTCATACAGTAGATTTAATCCAGAAGACAGAAAACATTCAAAGTTTATGAGAATGTGAAAAAACTAGAAACGTCATTATACTGCCTATGTGAAATGTAAACAATTTGACTATTTCTAAAAAAAATTATCTGTAACTCATTATTTCATGCCTAAAATCTACCCAAGAGAAAAAAATATATATGTCCATACGTGGAATGATCATAGGTAATTATACATAATAGTCAATACCTAAAACTAATCAAAATGTCTATCAACTGATGAATGGTAAACATTTACTAATAAGGAAGGAAATGTTAATGATTTAATAAATACTATTAAATGCGTAAATGTGACTGATATAAATCTGATGAAAATGTCTATTTATTATGTTTCTATTTATAGGAAATACTTAAAAAGGAACATAAGTTTATGGAAAGGAGAAGAGAGCAGTATTTGCTAATGGGGCCAGGGATGGAATGAAAGATAAACCACAACAGGACAGAAGGGAAAGTTGCATGATTATGAAAATATTGTACAATGATTCCATTCCAACTGACCATTCCACATGTTTGCAAAGTATACCATAATATATCTACTAAAAATAAAGCATTATCAAAAGACTGGCCACTTACAAGTTGGGCTTGTTCAATTTCTTCTTTTTCTCTTAGCTCCTATGACACATATATTTACATGGAAACTCCAAATAAATAGATGTTAAATCTATTATACATCAGTGAATAAAATAAAGTATTACCCTTCCTAATAACAAATGGCAAATTACTTAAGATATCTTCTTGTCTGAGAATGGGTAGGCAGAGGGATCAAGAGTGAGCAAGGAAACTTTATCTAAATCATACAGTTAGTTTTGGAGAATATGGTTCTCATCTAAATCTCTCAGATACCCTCTTCATATCATGTAGAGAAGACACTTAACTCTATATTATTAAGATATTTAACTCTATATTATTTCTTATATTTGAACGTTTAAATAATTTACTATGAAGAAATGACAATTTTATACAAAGTGTGCATATATATATATATATATATATATATATATATGCTTTTACCATTCAAACTTTGCTGTCTATTGATAATATTATTAGATACATACATTTGCATTATAAATAGCTGATACATTTTACAGTTATGTGATAAAAATTAAAAGCTTCATATAATAATCTATTGTAAAAAATTTTACATCTTACTTTTACATTGTTACTTGCATTTCCTTGGATTCTCTCTGGATATACGACTTGAAGGAATGAATTCTGAGAACCTGAAGAAATTTTTAAACAAAAGTCAACAACCTGTCTTAAATTTGACTAAACACTTCTTTACTTTTTGGTGACTTACATAACTATACATGGCTCATCACCCTGTACTTCTGAGTGCTCACTTTACCAGCACATGCCTCGAAGTTGGAGTTTACAGAGATAACTATGGCCTCTGTACAAGGATGATATGCAAGTCAGTGAGCTGTCACACTTTCAGGCAGCACAAATAAACCTTGAAAACATTCAGCTAGAAAAGTAGGAGCTTATGAAATACCATGTTCCTCCCCCAAAAAGAGACAGTGAGGAGATATTCAACTTAAAACAAACAAAAAATTCAATTCCTGAAGAAAATAGAACAAATGGAACAAAAAAAGATGTATTTCATTTCACTTGCCTATTTGTCTATTGAACCTTTTAATAGTTTGTTATATATTCTACATATTAGTCCATTGTCTGAGGAATAGTTCAGAAAATTTATTTTTTATTCCATAGGTTTTGTTTTCAATCTATTGGTTGCATTTGCTGTGCAGAAAATCCTTAATTTGATATTATTATGGTTTGCATCTAGGTGTCCCCTCAAAGTCTCAGGTAGTCATTGGGGCAGGCTTGTAGAGTTTGTGATTAATTTGTGATCCAAGGCTGGGATTATGGGTATGAGTGCTACCCTCGCCCTGGGGCAGGTAATCTGTATACCAATGTAAGGGAGGAAAAGAGTCTTGATAGCTACCACAGCTGCTGTTCTTCCCTTTGCTCTTTGCTGTCTTCTACCACCATGAACCTCTGCCTGCTTTCATGTGCCACTTTGCCTTGGAGCCAGCCAAGAGTGGACAGAAACCTCCACTAACTGTGAGATAAGTAAACCTTTCCTTCCTGATTTTGGGTGTCGGGTATTTTATCCCAGCAATGAGAGAAAAGTAATGGAGACACAACTGATTCCATTTGTTAATTCTCAGTACTATTTCCTGTATAACAGTGGTTCTGTTCAGAACATCCATTCCTATATCTATGACCTCAACAGTTTTAATTATTTTATATTTCAGAAGATTGTTTCTATTTTAACTTTTAGTTCTATTGTAGGAAACTAATATAAAATATTATAGGCAGTCAGATAAGGCTAGGCCCTCAAAGGAGCCAGTGCACAAGATAAGATTCCGTATAAATTTGGGAGAAACAGGGATATCCCTTGGGGGCCAGATCTGATGACAAAAAATGAAACAAATACACTCGCCTATTTCCCTAAGTATAAACAACAGGCACTGATATTCTAAATAGATATCTATCACCATGAGAAAGCCTGGAAGAGCCACGAACACAAACTCCTCCAGGAAAAGCCTCTGTTCCGTATTCATGGCCACTTGCTTATGATTTCCCATTTTTCTCTACCTTGCACCTACCTCACCTTATGGTTTTGCTCTATAAAAACCCCTTACAAAGGAAGGATCCATGGCAACCCACTCAGGGACCTGTTTTGTCTCTCTTAGACAGTATTCTTTCCCTTGATAAATATATATTCTGCTGTCAACCTCTGTTGTTCCTAAAATTCATTATTTAAATTAAGAGAACACAAACTCTTACCAGACATCTAGCAGGTTGGGAGTGTCATTTCCTTACAGCACTGTGATCCATTATTAGATGAATGGATAAAGAAACTGTGGTTTTCAGACACAATGGAGTACTATTCTACCATGAAGAAAGATAAACTCGGGGATTTACATATAACTCAGCAGTGCAAGTTCCTGCCTGGCAAGTATAAGGTCCTGAGTTCAATTCTGAATACCAAAGGAAAAAAAATAAGACAAGATAGAAAAAGACAGATAAACTTAAGTCATTTGTAGGAAAACGGCTGCATCTTGAGACAATATCTTTACAAACACTAATAAATGCACTTTAGGGCTGGGGATATAGCTCAGTGACACAGTGCTTGCCTGGTGAGATCCTGAGTTCCATTCCTGGTACAAAACCCCCCACCAAAAGTGTCACAATGTTTCAGTAATTTTAAGAGTTTAGTTTGGGCATAGGACCATCGTGTCTGGGAAGTGGTGTCCAGCACACCATGCCACACCCATCACGCCACTGCTCTGCTGCAACATAAAGTTCCTGGCATCCTGGTGGGATTAGAAACTTTCACCTTCAGTAAGGAACCACAGAGGAAGAGTTTACAACATGGTTTATCTAGGGGGAAAAATTGAAAAGAAAGAAGATTGCTACTGTGTATGTGCAGAGTAGAAGGCATCAGACGTGAATACTGGTGGATTTTTATCTTCAGCTCCCTTTTGTTTAGGACTATTTATTTTTACCAGCCCCCATGAAAACACCTAGAAGTTGCTTCTATCTGACTGGCACTCTATCTGTCTTTGAGCCCAACCTGAGCACCTTCTTTCTAGCTATGTAATTTCTTCTTGTCCCTTTCTGATAGATAAGTATGGGGCTAACAGAAAGGTAACTTAGAGTTAATGATTTAGTAAAGGGGACAAGTGTGCTTTATATAAATAAGAGCCCCTTTTTGTCTGCTCCTAATCGCCTTTTCATTTTTTTCAGAGGTGGGGGACTGGTTATGGAAGCCTTTTCTGTTCCTCACTGCATTCCTGTTTTGCCTGTGAACTCTCTCTGCTGAATTCTTATGTTACTTGTGTCACCTGCACCTTCCCTAGGTCTGGTCCTTCAGTCTGTCTCCCTCATCCCCACATGCCTTTTCTAATTGTTGTAGTCTTACTGCAGAGACAAAAAGATGACTTTAGTGAAGTTTAATAAAGCTAAATGAGATCCTATTTTATCCTTTTTTCTTGCCTATTGTAATGTAAATAAGCACAGACCACCATGCTTGTGTAAAGGCAACATGGCAAGGAATGCATTGTGCCTGAGTTCCCAGTTGATAAGCCCTTCTGTCCACAATAGTGAGAAATGTGTCCCTTTTACAGGGATGGAAAAAAGGCAACTGACATTAGGCAGGAAGACCCCAAGAAAGAACTATGATATATAAATAAGGACCATTTTATATCTGTATATACAAAATAGTTAGGATAGATATACATATACTTTCTCTTAATTCAATGAGAAAAAAGATTTGTACTAATAGTGTTTGGAAAGGATATCATGTCTGCATCTTGTACTATGAATAGCCACTACAAAGACAACACTATGCAATGTTTTAATTATTAAAATAGTTGTACTAACCTGCTTTGAAACTGTCTCATTGCCATTTGTTTCTCAATAAAATTAATAAATAAATAAAATAAATTTAATTTAATTTAAGAGAAAAGAACTATGATTCAAGTTTTCTGGCAGCCTTGCATTTTAGTGGGCTGAGTCTTTGGAAATGCTCCATGTAAGTTTTTGATTGTCTCAAGATGTCTCTAGGACCTGCACAATTGACTGTCTTATATTATCTTCTCTCTTGTATTTGTCAGTGAAACTCAGTGCTGAGCTGAGTTCCTTGAAGAGATCAAGGCTTTGGCCAGCAAGCATGCTGGGGACTGAAAGAGTCAGGCAAGGCTGGAGACTTATGCCTAAGACTCTTTGTGCCTTCAGGGATAGACATATCAATGGAATGGTGTTCATAAAATGTTCAAAGGGAAAGAGAAACTGGAATGGGGAAATTGAGAAAAGAAGGAAGGGAAAGGAAAAACAGATAATATACATACACATATATAAATATAGATACATTCTATATATATATATATATATACACACACAGACATAAGATAATTAAGATACTACTACTAATCATTGCTATTAGCTCATTGAAAAGATTGTGTCTATACTATTTCATCAATCCTGCATGCCTATATCTTGTAATATGAGCAACTACTCTTACAATAAGCAATGTACTAACCAGTTTCTCTCCTACAATCTTGATTTGAAATTTTATACCATTGTTTTTATTGTTTATTGCTTTTTTAAAATAAAAATAAGAAACAGATGCATGTGTTCTAGACTATCTATCCATCCTCCTGTTCTTTCTCTGCACCACTGCTCTGCCCAAGAGACTCTGCTTTGCAAACTGCATATACAAATTCCTTTGCCCACCGGATTATAGATGAGGTCAGCTAATAAGAGGCACAGGTAAACATTAGAGGAAGAAAACAAAGAGAAATCAAGCTATATTTTCCACTGTCATTCAGAACAGGTTCTGGTAAATACAGCTGGATATCCTCAAGTCACAGTATCTCTTCAATCGCTGTATCTCATCAGGTTCCAATAATCTGACCCTCTTCTTTTGGAATGATGTTGTGGTTTGGGGTTTTTGCAAGGTGAACAATGCAACACAGGACACATATGATAAGATTATTTTATAATGAATCACCCAAGGAATCATATACAAAGAAAATCTGTCCATATACTAAAGACCAAAAAATCCAGCTGAAAGCCTGGATCCTAATATCCTTCATGAGTTCAAAACAATGCCTTCCACAAGCCCAACTGGAAGCCTAGAACCCAAGACAATGTCTCATGCAGGCCTGCTTTACAGATCTTTATGGTATACCCCAATAGACTAGAAAGTCTATACTAGTTGGATGAAGGATCTTTGCCAGTAGGCTGAGGAATCTGAATTGGATCCAGGAAGCATGCTCAAGGAAAGAACCAGAGATCTCAAAGAAACATCACAGCCACCCTCAGCAACAGTGAGGTCCCAAATTCCTCCAATTTGAGGAAAGCTGAGGTCCAATCAGGATACTCAACACAACAAGCTTCTTGAGAGCCTGAGCTGTAGAACATTTTGCCCTCCCAAGCCAGGAAGTAATGCTCAAGGTGAAGACCAGAGCTTCCCCAAAGTGAACTGTAGCCATACTCAGTGATAATGAGGTCCCCAGCTCTTCCTCTGATTAGAACAACGAAGTTCACCAGAAAAGTCAGCAGGATGAGGTTTCACAGCAAAATAGCCCAAGATAACCACCAGATTCTAACAGCTCCAACAGTTTCTCCAAACAGCTTCCCTAACAGCGTGTCTATAGCTTGTGTAATTCTTCCTCTTATGCTGCTGTCAACAATCTTCAGGTCAGATTCCCACACCCAGCACCATACTAATTCAGTTCAGTTGGGTTGAACAAACTGACCACTAGCTGGTAACTCACCACAGATGGTATTGAATTT